GCAGGTCACCTTTTTGCTCTAAACTCAAAAATACATTGCCTTTTTGTAGTCTCAGTCTGTTTACTTACTTACCTGTTCCTGTGGGATAAATCATATTGGCCGCACGAGAAAACGTTTATCTGGACCAGTCTGTGAGCACTCCCCACCCCACCTGGCTGAAGAGTGCAGTGATTAAGACTATCACAGTTCCATCGTTTTACTCCTAGTGCAACCGAAGCACGTGGTTAAAGTGGCTGAAGCGTTTCAACCCCTCTACTTAGTTTGCAGCCGTCGATCTAACAGGATTAAGAGTCCCCTTCTGGTGACAGCGGAAGCAACCGGAATCCGCCTACATAATCCTCTCTCCCACCATATACTCTCAAAGCTATTCGTAAGAGCACTCGGTCCTTCATAACCAACACCGTGTAGCCATCCCTCCAACCATCCCCAATGACCCGAACCAATGCGAACGTGTAACGATTGGAGTGCGAGCAACATCCGGTCATGAAACTGGAGTGTTGAATATTTCTTTTCCCAGTTGTTACGGTTTCTTCTCCCTACAAAACAGTTTGATATAACTTTTGATGTATTAGTCCATAGAAGTATCACCGCAAACGATATAGTTCTCGCATGGTATTGTGCTATTCACATCTCACCGTGGCATCATGCTTAGACGCGACATGTTCGATTACAGATAGACAAAGCTGTCGTACTTCTGAAATTGATCAACCCAAAACTATATCTGAATCAAGGTTTCTCTTCCTTAATCATTATATATAAATAAATTCGGTAATCTATTTATTTTCCACATCATGCTAGCCATATTGATGAAAGCTTTACTCATTGATCTCAGATTCTGTAAAAACAGCTGCATGCACTCGACAAGCGTGCCATTCACCTCCTGCTCTGTGCATTTGTGCCCATGTTGAATATGTAACCGGACATGGTTTCCAGCATTTTCGCTTTCATTCGATTTCAGGAGCGTTTCTTATCCCCTATTTCATTTACTTGGTCGCATGTGGAATGTCGCTGTTCTTCATGGAAACGGCTATTGGTCAGTCTACGGGGCTCAGCACTATTCGTATTTTCAATATGATACCACTTTTTCAAGGTAAGTTTAACTTTATCGACGTTCAAAAATAGTAATAATTAATAAAGTTTGAGATGTTAAAACTGAAAATTTCTTGTGACATAGTGGCATTTGAACTCACGTCGGCCGAGGGGATTTTCAACAATTTATAATTCTGCCATTAAAGATTATGTAATGATTTGATTTTGGTGGGGATCGGTATTCATGTTTAGTTAGGTAATCCTCCGGGACTAAGAGGTGGACATGAATGGGATCTGTAACAAATGACAGCGTCGGCTTTTGCCATGCTTGGATACTGATGATGCTGGCGGCGTTTGTGGTGAATTTAAGGTCCATATTGAACCAATTGTTTTTGTACACAGTCCCAGCGAATCCCTATCGTCCCATAGTGGCAGGTGTGTCTGAGTACACTACCTTAGAACGGTTGGGGGTATATTATAGATAAATGTTCACCAGGAGTTTTGTTTTGAAATGCACTGACTTATTAATCGAGAATGACGCTTTCTTCCTCCCTGCTTGATTGTTTCTCCAACTTTTGGGTTTGTTGCCTTGTCTTCTGGTTTATGTACGTTGCATCACAAGAGCATCTAGATAAGAAGAAATGGCCACCGTGGTCAGGAACTATTTGTGTTCGTTTCAGAATATAGTTGAGTATGTATGTACATGACAGTGAAGCCGCACTGTAACTTCGCTCTGCTGCACGAGTTCAAGGCTTGTTCAAGAAAACAGTACTAGAATCTCGTTTTAAAGTAGACGGATGAATACGTCCTTCTTTTTGGTCATCTGTACGGTTGGGATAATAGCCTCACTACTCGTCTTCTTCATTTTGATGAACAAATCTAATAGTTTTATACTGGGATTTAGCAATTTATGCTCGCTTTTATATAATTTTATTCAAAGATTAGATCGCCAATCTCATTAAATACTGAATATTGTTTTACTCAAAACTGTTTTATATTTCTTCTTGAACCCTCGGATTCCTTCGATGTTTTGTTCTCCATAGTTTTAATCAAGCAAGAGGTTCTGATGCTCAGTGTATTGCAGCATGTATGAATTTGTTTAACTGTTCTACTATTACGTAATTACTCGTAAATCAATCGGAGTGGTGAAACGCAATCAAATTTGAATTATAGGGCATACTTTATACACAAAACCAACAATCTGCATTGAAATATGAGTTCACAGTTACGGAACTTAATCGTGCACAAATACAAACTATGATCAAAGTATATTGTTAAACATAATAATATCACTTTCCGCGTTACTCATGAATTTTAAACAATGAAAGACGTGAAATATAGCGGGAGGAAATAGTGAGTGCAAGAAATCACTCTGGGCAAACGCAATCAGCACAATCGTTTCAGTGACCACCACCTTGCACTGATCGTGAATAAAACAAGACATAAATCAGGTTGAACGAATAACCAGTGACACATGATGGACAAGCACAAAAATGCTCCCTAGCGGCAGTGCAGGTGATAGGACGGGACTGTGCGCGCACACATATCGGTGAACGGGGGAAAGGCATCAATGTGAATAGAAGTGCGACAAAAGTTACCACTCAATTTCATTTGCTATCCTGTTAGATGAATCCTCACCCGCAAAGTGAATATTTGCCGGGTTTTATATTCTATTTTCAGGTCTCGGATGGGCCATGGTTTTCGCTTCGGGCATTCTCAGCATCTATTATAACATCATAATCGCGTGGGTGTTGTATTTTATGGGAATGTCGTTTCATTGGAATCTGCCGTGGTCAAACTGTGAGAATCTGTGGAACACGGCCCAATGTTTCACGTACAGTGAAAACTTGGTGAGTTGTTACGTTAACAGAAGATTCTGATCAGAAAGGCTTGGGTCGAGGAAAGCTAATAGGGATGATGTTATAATGATATTGCAATCAAATAATAAAGGAAGCGTTTCAAACGAAAAAGATGATGAAATATGCTAGAGGACGATTCGTAGGTAACGGCAAGAATAATATTATCCTACTGATACTATGGATAACAAATATAGTTAAATAAAAAATTGAATATTGGCCTTTGGAACATCCAGAGAGGATGATGTAAATCACCCATTCAATCATCTTCGAACGCTATGAAAAATTCCGCGAGCTAATAAATTGAACCAAATGAACGTATTTTTATAAATTAGTTTCCATGTCTCGCACCATCTTTAGGCATTTGCACCCACTTTTTATTTGGTACATACTAGTATTTTAAAGCTGAAGAGATAAACTATACCATTTATTGACCAAAGTTTTACGGTATTATAGAATATCGATTGATGCAGTTGTGTCCTCTCAAAAAGAGCTTGTCTGAAGGAAACCTAAAGTAATCTATTTAGTTTACCGTTCTATGGACAGGTTGTTTGTCATTTTTAACTAACCGACCAAAAAGTCTTACGGTTGGGTTCATCTTTTTCTGTTTTCATAGGATCATTTCACTGTTGCTTAATTTGTATCATTGTCTGAAATATTATAGTTCTTCTGCGTTATCTGAAGTGTCCAGATTAATCTGGGCAAGCTGAGTGTCGCCAAGCCCTTCCCTAAAAAGACATCTACAAATGCCAGTTATATCCAGCAAAGTGTCTTTAGGCTCCAGTGAACTACACTTTGATTTATGAAGTGTTTTTTGAGATCAATAATCTTATCCTCTGATGAGATATTTCTACCTAGTGGACATTTACGCTTATGGATGCTCCTCTGGTCGTGGCTCAGTGAACTGCCACCTGTACATGAACCGAATAAATTTAATGACTTTGTTTGGTAAAGTGCAACATAAACACACGTTAAAAATGCTGTATGTGGGTATTTGTGATTTCTGACAAACAGGCCACCTTTGTAAGTCCTCGCTCATTTCTCCTGATCAACGGCGACTTAATGCTTAGCACAACATCAATCGTCTTTTCACAATGGATCATTCTATCAATCACAGCTCTCGGGACGCACCTGGGAGCTTATCGATCCACACTCCGCTGGCATGTAATAGACTGCGACGTCTGACCGAAAAAGCTTGGGCTGAAGTAGAAGCATCGATTCGTTGTTACAACCAAAATGTACAATGCCTGTAGCTGTCTTCTATTTTGTGTTGTTTCAACCGTTTTAGAGATTTGTTACATTTAAGATGCAGTAAACTACTTTGTTACTCAATACACTTTAAGACGTGTCTACTGATCTTTGTATTAGTAACGACCTTGGATCTGAGTATATGAAATTTGAGCGCCATGTTAAATGATATGCATGAAACTTCAATATTCACTAAGATACCAGTTCCAGGAAGTTGGTTACCCTTGGATCAGCCCTCTCAGAATGAGTGATCAAACAAATCCTGCATGATAGTGTTAAACTCTGATCTGTTTATGTAGTAGTATGAAGTGTGCGGGTCTATGGCAAGTTTCCGTTCTTCCCCCTTCGGGCCGCTTCTGATCCGTGGGAGTTGATTATTTTCAGCATGTTTATCTAAAATTTGTCCAAAGGGTTTGCTTGAGGCGGGTGAGGTGGACGTTAGTCGGCACGGTCCAGGCACTCCCCGTATCAACAAAATTCATTTCCGAAGGATTTTACCATTGAATTTGTGACCTTCGGCCATAGCGTGAATTGGAATTGTCGTTATATACTTTAATCACCTTGTGATCATTGACTCATTTGGTCTCCATTTTATTGGTTCATTTTACTGTATGATTCTGATATTTTGCTATCTGTATGCTAGTTTAATGCAATGTTGAGGCAATCCTTTTAGTGTTATGAGTGCAATTATTTTGATTTTGTACACTTCGCATCTGACGGGGCCGACTTAGTCTAACCAGTCTGCTTTACGGCTATCCTCTGTCATCAGCCTGTTTGTAAGCTTGCGTGACTTATGCACTGCCACAAGTGTTTGTATTCCTAGAGGATAGAGTGGAAGCAACCGAGCTCCTATTTCTCGGAGTTTGTTGGCGCGATAGGCTGCCGACAAGGTGGATGCCCGTTCTATGACAGGTCAGATTACTGTTCTGTGTGAAGGTGTCAGTTTCATGCGGATACTCGTTGTGAAGTTTTATTGTTCGTTCACTTTTCACCAACATTCAAGTGACCTGATTGCTCACTCAGTACTACTGAACTCCTGAAACGGACATCTTTTAGATAAAGTGAATCAAACTCATCGGACCTTCCTGATCCCAAGTGACGCGATCACCATGGACAACGATTGGCGGAACAAAATGTCCCCATGATCCTGTGCATTTCAGTCCTCTTCACAACTAAAAAACAAAAGAGCTTCCTGTCTACTATCCAAGGGTTTCAGATTCAATCGATGGATTCGCCCTGCTGATGAGACCCAATCAGGTCAAAACAGCTGTCCAGTGCTTCCCAGAATTTTAGCTCACACCTCATTTACACGACGAGTTCATTTTGATGATGAACATTACATTACATTGGACCTCCTCAAACTTCAATGTTCAGCCTATTGTGAGAAGCATTTTATATGACATGAAATGGTTTTCAGGGGAATCCATAGATCTCCTTCACCGAAACTCCAGATCTCTACCGGTGCATCCTTACTCGACGTCATAAGTATTACCCTTTTGAAGACTGTTCCGCAAGCTTTAATGCAGACATGATGAATTATTTCGACCTTCATGATTAGGGCCTGATTGCGTCAGACGCAACCATGATAATGTAACCGACCTGTTAATACTTACGCGACCGGGAAAGTGCGCAAACACGGAGAGACCTTTCAGTCGCTCATAACCTATTTCCATTTCCATCACTTACCTTCATGTAAAATGATATATCTGTTCCCGGAAGTGTAATCAGACTCAAACAATCGGTTAGTGATATCAAATCTCCCTTCACCGCATATTATGGAAATGTAGATATACACCCACATTCTGTTTTTGATTGAACGTTTTACGTGTAAATTTCAAACAAAGTGATAAGCAGTTTCAATCGCAGGTGTGAATGTTTCAGACCCGCAAGTTGGTGTTTGGCCTGCAACAAGCTCGTAAAGATGGGCTGTGCTGTATCGTGTAAACGGAAAATGAAAAAACGGTCTGATCAGTTGCTCAGTGGCCGACTGGGTGGCATGCTTGCGTTCTGCGTGTGAGGTTCCTGTTGGATCCCCAGATGGGTGGATGGATTTGCACTGCTGATGACGAGAACCAACTAAGTCGAAACAGCTGTACAGGGCTTCCTGGGTTTTCAGTTCACGCTTCATTTGCTATATACAGGAAGAATTTCCCCTCTGAAACAATATTATTTATTTAGATAAGATGTATGCAGTAGTAAGACGTTTTTGTCAACACTTGTTCTATTTCTGTTCGCAGAGTAATTTGATGCATGTATCTCTAAAACCAACTTGGTATTTTCTCTTCGCCTATTCCAATGAAAGAACATGACCCAAATGGCGGACAATTTCTCACTGAAATGGAACACATCAGCGGAAGTTCGACGAAGTGCGGCGGAAGAATTTTGGCTGTAAGTAATCTATGTACATCTGAATGGAATGACCATCGGTTAACTATGATGTGCAGTGGCTTACAGAT